CAACTCCCTTCTCGTCCCATAATCTCTTGCCTCCAGTCTTTTTATTACACCGCATGTCTGTGCGTCGGGCGGTAGCAATCACCGAATCAAAATGATTATTTGCAGGTTGTCTGGGAAGCTGTTCGTCATCTGTCCGCCATCATTAGACTTGATTTTGCATTTACCCATTCCTTCCATTCATAATATCCCTCTCGATGGTAATTTCGAAAATATGTCATCTATCGACGCAATTTGCACAGTGTATCACCGACGTTTAACCTAGTTTTAGTGCCGCTGGCATATACACCGCCACACTCATTTTCGGTGTGCAAAGCAATATTAGTAATGACCATGCTAGTGTCTACAGCATTCGGCCGGACATTTTACGCTTCTCCGGCAATCTCAGTAACATTCAGCTGAATTTTTACTCTCATTGTGGTCCCATCTGAGGCTATTTTTACCTCGAAAATGTTGGTTTGATCAAGGATGATATTACAAATCAGGCTCTGATTGCTGGCAGAGTAAAAAATTTCATAACCGCAGATAGTGCGAGCAAGCATCGTCACTGCATTTAGTGATGTCGTTGGCCACGGTTTCGAATCACTGACCCAGTCGCCTCACTTGGAGTGCGACGATTTATTCATGACGGTTACTGTTCTACATATAGCCCTCACTGCCAGCGAAGGTTCAGGTCTGGCTGCAATGTTGATATATACATCCGACTGAGAGCTGCATCTTGAGGGGTTGTTAATACCGACGATAGACTAGAATTCCCATTCTATACGTACATGTCTGTCATGGAGACTAGAGCTGTGAATACATCCTTGGTACTACGGCCTTAAACCAGTTCCCGGGTAGGATGAGAAGAATCCGGATGCCAGTTGCATTCTCTATGCAATAAGTAGAAAGCAGATTAGTGGGGGGGGCCGAAGGCGTCCGACTTCACCGGAGTCAAAATGATATCGCGGCAAGGTGACAGCGCGCTTTGAGCGAGGGCATGTGTGCGTCAGTGATTGGCTGCAGATGGGCAGTGTTGCATCGGGCGCCCGGAAAAGAGTTTCTAAGTGCGTACAGAAAGGCAACTCTTTCAGAGCATCTTTACAGCCTTCAATTCCTTACACGCACGAGAGCTTTGGTCGAAGGGCTGTTGAATAAGGGCGAAATTCCGCCCTGTCCTCTCCTGATGGTCAAGCCACAGTGACACCTCTCCCTACCCCTATTTAAGTGTGGAACTTATTGGATTCAGGACACGCACCTTGACGCTCCACTCCACACTCCCTGACATACACGCAACAATTGACCAAGATTTTAATCAACAACAACAACAACAGCACAACGGGTCAGAAGGGACGAGGATGATTGGACAGCCATGCTCACAACCTGTATACCCAGCGGGAACGCAAGCGCACCCACCGGCTAGGAACCAGGCGTGGGGAAACTGTCAGCGCATACTAGGCTGCGAGGGCAATGGTTTGCTGATCTTGACATAGCAGACGCTTACGGACCTCTAGGCTAGTACCGTCATATACACCGCATCAATACGATGGGCAACGAATTTATTCGTATTTGCATGTCTGCATTGTGTAAAGTCCAGTGTCATTAAACAGGTAACGACCGGGAAAAGACAGTCATGCAGAACTTGGAACACCAAACAGACGAACAACGGAAGAGGAAAACTGCCGACAGACCAAACACAACCCTGTGGCGGTACATCCACCTAGCACTGAATTGATGACTCATAAAGCACGCAGCACGCCTCCAAACATCCCCATATGGCCGGGGACGCGAAAAGGGCAAAAATCGATCAGGCGAAGTCCGACTGTCTCGGGCAGTCATTGGCGCTTCGTGCATTTGGTGTTCTTTTTTGGCTACGTGTCCCGACACGGCAGCATTTCAATAAATGCGTCCTGATGCACACTTTGTCCGTCTACAAATACGGTTATGCTCATTGTTTAAGTGTGTGAATCTTCACACTTTTCACGAGACCGAATATGCTACAAGCATGCCCTTCCGTCGTCTGAGGTGTCACTACTGCATACCTTGCGTGTAGTCCGTCGGTGGGGTAGAACAGACGCCGGTGTTCGAGATGTCCTGAAGTATTTTGAAGCACCACATTTATGGGTCACCAGAATAGTGAAAAACACATGTAACCTCAGTCAGCCGAATCCTCTCACCACAGATTCAACAATCGCGGCGAGGATTATTGTGACATGGCACCTGCCAAAATGGACCTCGGGGCGGTTTTTTCAGTTGAGGTTGGTTTCCTCCAAAAGAAGACAGATCGACTACGGCCATTGAATGCGCTAGTGTACTGAAGAAATTAGAGTTAGATAAACTGTTCCTCAAACAGTGACAAGATAACTGTGACGGTCCACACTGGGCCTATTTCTGTATGGTGTACTCACAACAGTGAGAAACTTGTGGTGAAAAATCCGGTTTTTATTAAATGGGCTCAGCAGCTTCTCACCGATTCCGTATCCAGAACGAAAATCAAAGCAGCCATTATGATGTTTGGTTGAAGTAGTGCCTCTAACCAGTTGGAACTGTCTGGCCTATGTGTCGCTCTTTGAGCTATATGGACCCATATATAGCGGCAGTGCGTAGGGGATATTTCGGGCGGCAGACGTAATGTGCAGGAATGATATAAAGTGTCCTGCCAGTTGTACGTTTCCCAGTAATGATCTTGTTAGAGACATCGAGATGTCAGCTGCCAAATAGTGTCTACTGGAGGGGAGGAAAGTACCCTTATCATAGATGGTAAATAAGGCATTGATCACAGTCAGATATTGGGTCAAGGGCATGGTATATAGCTGGCGCTACCTAATCCAGGGAGCAGTTCTGTCCAAAGAAAATGACTGCCGATATATATTTGTACGTGCCAGAGAAAGAAACAAGAAGACCTCGCGTTGACTGTCGCGTGGGAGTGGTTAATATTATTGAACGCAGTCACTGCATTAAAAACACTACATTGTACTAACTTTAAGAGGTCTTTAAGAGGAGACTTGATTTCTATAGCAGTGTTCACTAAACTACCACCCGACCTCTGCAAGCTTAACAAATCCCATTGCCATAATACTGCTTGATATGTTTCAGTAACCTTTTCAATTGAAACCTTATTGTCTCCAACCCACCGCCCACGCTTACCGGTATGGACTCATGTAACTTTTGTCACTGGGGTTATTATTTATGACCCTGCATTCGAAACGACCACTGTACTACTGCTCGTACCACTAACATTCAAGACAGTTCGTCTATCTGCACAGAGTTGACGCTTTTCCGATCATTTGTTACCTCAATGATACCGTTTCCAGTTTCTGGGATTTTTCAGTTGATTGCAGTGAAATGGAAGACAAGGTTGCTGAATTGCAATATCTTCGACGGGTAATGAGAGCCAATGGCTACCCGCGCAACTTTGTCAACCAGTGCATACGAAAAGGACACCAGAGACCAAATCCAACTAGCCCCAAATTTTGGCGGGCTCTTCCGTACGTGAAGAACGTCTCGGAAGCCGTCAGTCGTCTTCTCACTCCACTTGGAGTTGGGGTTGCACACAGGCCGGAAGCAACCATTAGGCGCCAAGTAATGAGGCCAAAAGACCCGCTGCCACGGCAGGAAACGTCTGGAGGCGTTTACCGGATCTGGCGTAGTTGCGGACAAAGCAATTATGTCGGAGAAACTGGGAGATTACTCCGTACGCGACTTGCCGAGCACGCAGCAGCAGTGAGGCGGGAAGACGCTAACTCTCAGGTGGCGGCACACTCGACGGGACCCAGCCATAATTTCAAATTTCAAGAGGCCGAAATCCTCGCAAGGGGTGACAATCGCGTGAACCGCGAGCTGCTCGAGTCATGGTTCTCAGGCCCGCAATCCATCAAGAAACACAATGACCTCCCGGTAGCCTATTCCGTATTGCGATTTTCCCTGGGCAGGAGAATCAGTCACGTGGGGAGGGCGCGGGTGAGCAATTATCACGGTGACAGTGAGCCAGTTTGCCGAGCAATCGTCACACCAGCATTGAGCACGGATGACGAAATCGCGGCAATTAACAACTCGGACTCGGACCGCCAAGCCACCGCCGCATCAATTACGACCCCAGCGGCGATTGTGAGAACTGTTAATTGCAGTGCGCATACGGTCCCACGGCATCCACGTGCTATAAATACTGCACTCCTGGTGCCACCTTCACCTCTATCTGCGAATGTCTCTGATGATGGGTTCGAGTGAGAACCCGAAACGTCAGGCCAATAAACTTCTTGTCCCAGTGATCGCATCTTCATCTTCTGATTGTAAACAAGTAGGGAGTTCAAAGGTGAATGGGAAGAGCATTGCGCTTGCTGATATAGTGGTGGGCAGTAAACCATGACTGAAGCAGCTTGCGAACCACGGGGTGGTCATCTCTAGAGAGAATTTCGGCCTCGTCCAATGAGTAACAAATTGAGGGTTGGCGTCATTTCTCCGCACTTTTGCAGCGTGTTGGGCCATTCTCTTCAATGTAGTTGCTTTGTCCGCAACTGCAACAGATGCGAAAAACGACTCCAGACGTTCCTAGCCGTGGCAACAGGTCTTCCAGCTTCATTACCTGACGCCTGTTGGTTTCCTCCGGTCTCTGTGTAAATCCAAACTCAAATGGTGCGAGGAGGAGGAGGAGGGCGGCAGCTTCCGAAATGTTCTTGACCTACGAAAGCGCTCGCCCGGACAAATCAAATCTTTGGATGCCTCTCGTCGAAAAAGTGGCCATGATCATTACCTTGGTGGCATCATCAGAATAATATCCTTCAACTACAGATGCTGCGAGTGTATCCGCATTGTCCCAGCAGTCCTCGCACTTAACACTGACGAGCGAACACGTGAACCAGTGCACTTGTTAGCCAGTCCACACCAAAACCGCCCAGTACGCAATAAATAATTGCCATATCGTGGGTGGAGACCATCTGTTTATTCTACTGCCCACACAAACTGACCAAAAAATTATAAAAGCCAGTCTACATCAAGAGTCTGCCCCATACCACTGCACAGCGAACATGTCTCCAAAGTATTCACTACCGCGACTGCAACGGCAGCTTCCTCTTCTCCTCGCATTCTTCCTCATCCTCCTGCTGAATTTGCACACCACACAAGTAGCTGCCAGAGAGAGGAGTTGGCCAGATCTCCTAGGAGAGGGAATCCTTCAGAAAGGAGACGAGGATGACGTGCAATATGACCTCGAAGAGGAGGTGGAGGAGGAGGAAGAAGAAGCGGTGGAGGAGCCAGGGCGTGCAACGAATCCACTCGCGGCTGCCGGCTGGTTAAGACGAGTTCGTGAACGCATCAGACGAGTTCGTGAACGCATCGGACGAATTCTGCGAAGACGCAGATGCGAAGAAGCACGCTGCCGTCGACCGGCTAGACGCTACCCCATCTTCACTGTGCCCTTGTAATTTTCCATCGACCGATCTTTTTATGTCTTACCTTTGTCACTTTCGAACACGCCTTTCCGAATAAAACGTTCTTCTCGTACGGCAATCTCCTGTCTTTAGTCATTTTAGCACACCGCATGTCTGTGCTTCGGGCCGTAGCTATCGCCGAATCAGCATGGCTATTTTCAGGTTGTCTGGGAATCTCTTCGTCATCTGTCCGCCATCATTAGACTTGATTATGCATTTATCAATGCCTTCCATTCATAATATCCCTCTCAACGGTAATTTCGAAAAGATGTCATGCATCGACGGAATTCGCAGAGCGCATCACCGAATTTTTACCCAGTTGTAGTGCCGAAGGCATAAACACCGTCAAACCCATTTTGGGGATGCAAAGCAATATTGGTACTGACGATGCTAGCGTCTACAGCATTTGGCTGGACGTGTTACGCTTCTCCAGCAATCTCAAACCATTCAGCTGAATTTTTACTCTCATTGTGGTCCCATCCGAGTCTATTTTGACCTCGAAAATATTGGTTCGATCAGGGCTGATATTACAAATTGTGCTCTGATTGCTGGCAGAGTAACAAATTTCATAACCGCAGATGGTGCGAACAAACATCGTCACTGCATTTAATGATGTCGTTGGCCACGGCTTCGAATTACTAACCCTGTCACCTCACTCGGAGAGCGACGATTTATTCATGACGGTTATGGTTCTACATATAGCCCTTACAGCCGGCGAAGGACCAGGTCTGGCAGCAATGTGGATATATACATCCGACTGAGAGCTGCATCTTAAGTGTTTGGTAATACCGACGATAGACTAGAATTCCCATTCTATACGTACATGTCTCTCATGGAGCCTAGAGCTGTGAATACATCCTAGGCACTACGCCCTTCAAAGCAGTTCCCGGGTAGGAAGAGTGGAACCCGGATGCCAGTTGCATTCTCTATGTCATAAGTTGGAAGTAGGTTAGGGGGGGCGGACGGAAGACGTCTGACATCACGGGAGTCAGGCGACAGAGCACCCTGAGCGAGGGCATGGGTGCGTCAGTGATTGGTTGCAGATGAGCAGTGTCGCATCAGACGCCCGCAAAAGTGTTTCTATATGCGCACAAAAAGGCGACTCTTTCAGGGCATCGTTGCAGTTTTCAGTTCTCTAAACGCAGTTGAGTTTTGGCTGTTGACTGAGGGCAAAACTCAGCCCAGTCCTGGCCTGATAGTCAAGCGACGGTGACACCTTCCCACTCCTCCCTCCCACGCCCTATTTCAGTGTGCGACTTCCAGGGTTCAGCACCCGCACGTTGACGCTTCAATCCACACTCCCTGACAGACACAACCATGGACCAAGATTTTAACCTACAGCAACAACACCTCAACGGGTCAGAAGGGACGAGGCTGATTGGACAGCCATGCTCACATCCTCCGTACCCAACCGGAGCGCAAGCGCACTCGCCGACCAGGAACCAGGCGCGGGGAAACTGTCAGCGCATACTAGGCTGCGAGGACCATGGTTTGCTGATCTTGACAAAGCAGACGCTTACGGACCTCTAGGCTAGTGTCGTCATACACACCGCGTCAAAACGATAGGCAACGAATTTATTCGTCCTTACATGTCTGCATTGTGTAAAGTCCAGGGTCAGTAAACAGATAACGACCGGGAAAAGACAGTCATGCAGAACTTGGAACACCAAACAGACAAACAGCGGACGAACAACTCAACGGAAGAGGTAAACTGCCGACAGACCAAACACAACCCTGTGGCGGCACATCCACCTAGCACTGAATTGATGACTCATAATGCACGCAGCACGCCTCCAAGCATCCCCCATATAGCCGCGGACGCGAAAAGGGAAAAAATCGATCAGGAGAAGTCCGACTGTCTCGGGCAGTCATTGGCGCTTCGTGCATTTGGTGTTCTTTTTGGCTACGTGTCCCGAAACGGCAGTATTTCAATAAATGAGTCCTGATGAACACTTTGTCCGTCTAAAAATACGGTTTGCTCATTGTTTAAATGTGTGAATCTTCACAATTTTCATGAGACCGAATATGCTACAAGCATGCCCTTCCATCGTCTGAGATGTCACTACTGCATACCTTGCATCTAGTCCGTGGGTAGGGTAGAACAGACGCCGGTGTTCGAGATGTCCTGAAGTATTTTGAAGCACCACATTTATGGGTCACCAGAATATTGAAAACCACATGTAACCTCAATCAGCCGAATCCTCTCACCACAGACTCAACAATCGCGGAGAGGATTATTGTGACATGACACCTACCGAAATGGACTTCGGAATGGTTGTTTTAGTTGACGTTGGTTTCCTCCAAAGGAAGACAGATCGGTTACGGTCATTGACTGTGCTAGATTAATGAGCAAATTAGAATTAGATAAACGGCGCCTCAAACAGTGACAAGATAACTATGATGGTTCACACTGCGCCTATTTCTGTTTGTTGCACTCACAACAGTGAGAAACTCGTGGTGAAATATCCGGTTTTAATTGTATGGGCTCAGAAGCTTCTTACCCATTCCATCTCCAGAACGAAAATCAAAACAGTCATTGAGATGTTTGGTTGAAGAAGTACCTCTAACCAGCTGGGTCTGTATGGCCTATGTGTAGCTCTATGGGCTATATGGTCCCATATTTAGCGGCAGTGGGTAGCTGATATTTCGGGCGACGGACGTAATGTTCAGCGATGATATAAAGTGTCCTGCCAGTTGTACGTTTCCCAGTAATGATCTTCTTATCGACATTGAGATTTCAGCTGCCATATTGTGTCTACCAGAGGAGAGGAAATTTCTGTTATGACAGAGGGTAGAAAAGGCACTGATCCCTGTCAGATAGTGGGGCTACCGCATGGTTTATAGGCCGGGTTATTTACTTTGGGGAACAAGTGTGCTTGAAGTAAGTAACTTTCGATATTTATTTGTATGTGCCAGAGAGAGAGAGAGAGAGAGAGAGAGAGTGAGTGAGTGAGTGAGTGAGTGAGTGAGTGAGTGAGTGAGTGAGTGATAAATGGGCTCCGCTGTGGTTGTTGCGTGAGGGTGAGTTTCTTTCACGTATTTATCGGACTAAAAATACGACAGTGTAATACCTTTTTGACAATACCAGCAAACGGGCAGTAAATCCATTTATTATTATCACTAAGTTGTAAAATATAGTGTCCACTTTAAATTGGTGGCGATGGGGAGTATCAAAATCTGAGGTGCCACAAAACTCTTAGATGTCTTGCTCTTTTGCTCAACACAAATACTCCCCGGGGTATGTAAGCTCGGCCATACGCCACAACCTTATCGATTTTTGATTTGTCAACAATGTAATTGTCGAGATGAAAGTATTGGCTGGGCCGTCAGATGCGTGCATGTATAACACTTGTAATGGGAATATTGAGTATCTAATCCCATAAGAAAGTTAGCAAATGTCGTGCGCTTGGAATCAGCATCAACAAAAATTACAGGACACATTGCACCAACCAACGCGTAGAAATGCGAGGCCTCCCTGATCGTTTTGCTGAAACAAGTCAGTTCTCTGGATGACCCTCGCCAACACACTACCTGAACTCGTTAATTGGATGGCATCGTTGAGAGAAACTTCCCTCCTACCACGAATTCCGCAAGTGCATCGGCACGTGCATCGGCGAACACGTGAACCAGTGCACTTGTAAGCCAGTCCATACCAAAACCGCCAACTCCACAATAAATAATTGCCATCTCGTGGGTGGACACCATCTGTTTATTCTACTGCCCACACCAACTGACCAAAAAATTATAAAAGTCAGTATACATCAAGGAACTGCCTCATACCAGTGCACAGCGAACATGTCTGCAATTCATTCACTGCTACCACTTCAACGACAGCTTCCTCTTCTCCTCGTGTTCTTCCTCATCCTCCTGCTGAATGTCCACACTACGCAAGCAGCTGCCAGAGAGAGGATTTGGCCAGATCGCCTAGAAGAGGGAATCCTCCCGAGAGGAGTCGAGGATGACGTGCAATATGACCTTGAGGATGAGGAGTGGGAGGAAGAAGTGGAGGAGCCAGGACGCGCAGCGAATCCACTCACGGCAGCCGGCTGGTGGAGACGAGTTCGTGAACGCATCAGTAGAGCCCTACGAGGACGCCTACCCGTAGTTATACGTCGTCGTCCTCCGCCACCTAGACCTTAATCCATCTTCATTGTGCCCTTGTAATTTTCTATCGACCGACATTTGAAAATACTACCTTTGCTACTTCATATCACGCCTTTTCGACTATAGCTTCCTTCTCGTCCCATAATCTCCTGCCTCCAGTCTTTGTATTCCATCGCATGCCCCAGTTTCGGACAGTGGTCAACGCCGAATCAAAATAATTATCCGCAGATTGTCTAAGCTAATTTCTCACCATCTGTCCAGTATAAATTAACATCAAATTTTGGCATTCGATATTCCATTGCATGCTGGTTCCCATTCCCAGTCACAAGTGGTAGTGTGAATGCCAGAGAGTGGTCTGTTTGCTTTGGTTTTAAAACTTGCAGAAAGAACCCTCGAATCCGTAGTTGGGTCTGAAAAGCGATTAGCTAATCTTGACCTCTTTCCTTTGAGTTACAGACAGCTACGTGGGGACCTGATACAAGCTTTCCGCATCGTGCGCAATCAGGGCTGCTGCCTCGCGTTTGGAGACTTCTTCGAGTTGGCGACTACGACTAACCTGAGAGGCCATCCACTCAAACTGCGTGTGGCTGGTGCCCGGCAAGACACCCGAAAGTTCTTCTTCTCCAACAGAGTGGTTGCAGTTTGAAATGCCTTGCCTGAGGATGTTGTTATGTCGGGCTCGGTAGATACTTTTAAATGGAGACTAGGTCAGCATTGTAGCGCGCACCACAATAACGCCGGACTACGGCCACCTTGACAGCCAACACTGACAATTTAGTGACATAACGATGCTACTACCAACATTTAAGTAATATGTGTTTATGTAATTTATTAAGTTTGGGCCACGTCGCACACCGCTGTTCGCATTCACCGCGATGCCTGTAGACTAAACAACCTTACATCTTTTCCCGTGTCTTAAGTGTGCCTCAACTGTCCGCTGTATTTTGACCAACAAGGCAAGTTAATGTGCCTCTAAACTCTGTTAAAGCATGACATTCTGTGTTCATCTGTACAGTTTTTGCTATTCCCCTCGCATTTCCTTCATGTTACTTTCTTTCCATTTTCTCCATATCTTCTCTGCATGTAACCAATAGGGATTTCAAAGGTACACACCTACTATCCCTGAAATATACTGATACTGATACTGATACTGACTAACCACCCACGAATGAGCACTGAAATTCAGCATTGACAAAGGAGATGCCAGAATTTGTTGCGTATGACTAATCTCTAACACATGCATGTCCGTGCTTCGGACAGTGCATATCACTAGTCGCGATCGGGAATGCGCCTTGGGGCTTTCTTTCGCGCCCAGCCAGCGGCGTGCAATATGGGCAGAATAACGTTACCGACAAAGGCAGGGTGGACTGAGATAGCCATTTCTAATAGAAGCGAAGAGACGAGTTCCAGGAAGTAGTCTTAACGAAGGAGACAGTCGCTGGGACAAGAGCTGAGAATCGTCTTGGACACGCCCAAGTCCTTCAGCTCTGTCTCAAGACGTACTTTACGTTCGACTGGACAATCTACGAACAGGTGAAGGGCACACCAATAGGTTCGCCGATTTCGGGCTTCATCGCCGAGACGGTTCTGCAACGGTTAGAGTCGCTGGTCTTCTAACACCACAAGCCCAAGTTCTAGGCCCGGTATGTGGATGATACCTTCGTCGTCATCGAACCAAGATAGTCAGACTTGGACTGATCAACCTTTTTTCCTCTTCGCGGCCCTGACCATTTGGGGTATGTTTGGATGCGAGTTTGACTGCTGCGTGCTTTATGAGTCATCACCTCGGTGGTGGGCGACTGGATCGCCGCAGGGTTGTTTGGTCTGGTGGCCCTTGACCATGAACAGGTCAGGCAAGTGAGGTGGAATATGTTCGCTGCCTATCTCACTGACGCGGTATATATAATGGCAGTCGCCTAAAACTCTGTAAGCATCTGCAAACCATGCCTTCGCGGCCTAGTATGAGCTGGCAGTTCTCTCACACCTGATTTCCTGCCGGTGGGTGGGCTTGAGCCCTAGCTGGATGTACAGGTCATGCGTATGGCCGCCCGATCATCCGCCTTCTCTTTCTGACCCTTTGTAGTGTTGTTGTTATTGGTTAAAATCTTGTCACTTGTCGTGTGGGCAGGCGGATCTGCGTGGAACGCCAAGGTGCGGGTTCAGCTGCACTATCCACATGCAGCCTCCCACGTCTCCGGTCTGCTCGACTCTGTCATGATAACGGTGTCAGTCGGGAAGGAACGAATGCGGTAGATGCAGCGCAAGTCTACACACACCGTGGCTGTTTCCCCTGGCTCTGAAGGGCTACAAAGGACAAGGACAACAGCATCTAATATAACAAAATACTATTCTACTCTACAACTAGAAGAAATGCCGGGCCATATGGGCTCTCTTGCTGAAACACGTTCGTTCTTTGGATGCCTCTCGTCAAAACCCTACCGGCGATCACTGTTAACATGGGATGATTGGAGAGATCTCTGTCTACTACCAATTCTGCAAGTGCAGCGTCACTGTCCCCGCAGTTCTTAGGGTCAACTTTGACGAGAGGACACATGACCCAGTGCACCTATACGCCAAGTCTGCAATAAATAACTGCTATCTAGTAGAAGAACACCAACTGTTTACTCTAGTGCGTATAATAGCTTCTGAACGTAATAAAAGACAGCGTACATCAAGGGACTGTCTCATAGTAGAGGACAAGGAACATGTCTGCAAACCGCTCACTACCACGACTACAGCAACAGCTTCCTCTTCTCCTCGTTTTATTCCTCGTCCTCCTGTTGAATGTGCACACTACGCAAGCAACCGCCAGAGAGAGGATTTGGCCAGATCACCTAGAAGAGGGAACCCTCCAGAGAGGAGACGAGGATGACGTGCAATATGACCTCAAGGAGGAGGAGGAAGAAGAAGAAGAAGAAGAAGAAGAAGAAGAAGAATAAGAAGAAGAAGAAGAAGAAGAAGAAGAAGCAGTGGAGGAACCAGGACGTGCAACGAATCCACTCACGGCAGCCAGCCGGTGGAGACGAATTCGTGAACGCATCAGTGGAGTTCTGCGAGGACAACTTCCACCAAACAACGCGTAGAAATGCGAAGCCTCCCTGATCGTTTTGCTGAAAAAAGTCGGTTCTCTGAATGGCTCTCATCAAAACACTACCTGAACTCGTTAATTGGATGGCATCGTTAGAGAAACTTCCCTCCTACTTCGAATTCTGCCAATTTACCGCACTGCCCCCGCAGTGCTCGCACTCAACCCTGACGAGCGGCCACGTGAACCAGTGCACTTGTAAGCCAGTCCACACTAAAACCGTCCAGTCCACAATAAATAATTGCCATCTCGTGGGTGGATACCGTCTGTTCATTCTACTACTGCCTACACCAACTGACCAAAAAATTATAAATGCCAATCTACATCAAGGAACTGCCTCATACGATTGCACAGCGAAAATGTCTGCAAATCATTCACTACTACCACTGCAACGGCAGCTTCCTCTCCTCCTCGTATTGTTCCTCATCCTCCTGTTGAATGTGCACACCACACAAGCAAATGCCAGAGAGAGGATTTGACCAGTTCGCCTAAAAAAGGTAACCTTCCAGAGAGGGGACGAGGACGACGAGCAATATGACCTCGAGGACGTGGAAGAGAAGGAGAAGGAGGAGAAAGTAGAAGAAGCAGTTGAGGAGCACCACAATTATATGGGAACAGGGTAGAAAGAAAAACATTTTAGTGATAAGAGAAATCGATTTAAGTTCGTCTTAAAACACAGGCGGATTGTAAGATTATGGGGGTGGGGGGTGGGGTGGGGGTATTAACAGTCAGTGCCAGGGGAGGAGAGTGAGAGCGGAGTGGCGCAGCTAGTTGCAGCGTTATTCGACCTTCGACCAATGTGGGTGCGAAGCATGAAAGTGGTTCTTCTGTGATTACAAAATTGGTTTTCGTAACCTGATGGTGGCCGCTCCGGAACCAACAACATGCTGGAGGACGGCACTGCTTATGCCCCTAGTTTCGCCTTTTCCTAGCCATTCCGGGCGGTGCTCTCGTATCCTCTTGGATAAGAGCCGATTCGTGCTATCAATATAACCTGCTTCACAGAAGCAAGATGCACATTGAGGTGGTTTGGGGTGGCAACCTATCCTCACCTTCTCCGCGTAAAATTGGGTTAGTAGGAAATTATATTCGAACCTTAACTGATGGAAGGGTTTGCGAGACAGCTTGATTAAGGCATCTCCTTAGGAGTTCAGTCGCAGCGTCCCCTTTAAAAGGGACTTTGAGGAACAAAGTTTTCTTTTTGACAGTCGGTGTAGTGGAATTTTGTGGTCATTCGACCTTGTTCTTTGCAATAAACCTGTCAGGCTGCACGTTTTCGCGAAGCAAGTCCTCGATTTTTCTAAGCTCTTCCTCGATGCTATCAGTTGAACAATTTTTTCTAGCTCTTTCTGCCAAACGCCGAACTAGATTTCGTTGTTGTTGGAGAGTTTTGAAACTGTCCAAGTTCGTGTATTTTCCAGATCAGGTTTTCCTCCGATAGACGCTGCTTCGGACGTTACTGTCAGGTCTCTTGTTTAGAAGAACATCCAAGAAAGAGAGCGAAGCGGCCGTTTCCATCTCCAACGTGAATATGATCGACGGACGTGGCTGATTTACAGCATTTAAGAGGTAGCGACGTCGGCTTTTGCGGTGACAATTGGAAAGCTATCATCAACCTAGCGACCGTGATGTCTAAGCTTATCGATCTGATCGCTTAGTTGGAATCTTTCCAGTTTGCCATGAAGACATTGGCTAGGAGAGTTCCAAGAGGCAAGACCAAAGTGACACCGTCTATGTGTCTATCGAGTTGGTTGTCAAGAAGGAACTGCACATTTAATGTGCATCTTAGTAATAATGTCTTGAGGGTCTAACAAAGCATGTTCTGATTGCCGGCAGAGCAGAAAATTTAATAATATTAGGTGGTGCAATTAAATAGCATCACTGTATTTAATGATGTCGTTTGCCCAGTTGGGTCACTTGGACAACTACGATTCATTTTCCACCTGTTTTCCATGATCTTCGCTGTCAATGCAGGTTCATATTGGAGCGCAATTTTCATATATACGGCTACCTGAAAGATACATCATAAGGGGTTGGTCATACCCAATGATACACAAGAATTCTCATTCTCACTGTGTACATGTGTGCCACGGATGTACCCTGGACACTACGGCCTTCAAACCAGTTCCCGGGTAGGAAGAGTAGAATCCGGATGCCAGCTGCGTTCTGAATAGAAAGTAGGTTAGGGGGAGGGTTGGGGGGGCCGAAGGCGTCTGAATTCACCGGAGTCAGAATTATATCGGGGCTAGGCGACAGAGCGCGCTGAGCGAGGGCATGCGTGCGTCAGTGATTGGCTGCATATGGGCACTGTTGCATCGGGCGCCCGGAAAAGATTCGCTACATTCGCACAGAAAGAACTGTTTTAGGGCATACTTGCAGTTTTCAGTTCCCTAAACGCACGAGAGTTTTGGTCGAAGGGCTGTTGACTAAGGGAAAAACTCGGCCCTGTCCTGGCCCGATGGTTAAGCCACAGTGACGCCTCCTCCCCACCCCCAATCCAGTGTGGTCCTTATAGAATTCAAGATTGTGTTCGATCAGAGATATTCCCCTCTAGCTGACGCCTGTTGTACCTAGAGACACGAAACCGGGCCGCGTGAGGTACGCGTAGAGAGACCCACCGTTTGGTCACTACTGCCCCCACCTTTACACTCAATGACCTTGACACTCTCCTTTCACTGGACCATGGGGGATTTGACTGAAGATTGAAGTAGATGGTTCGTTGGCCTGCTTAACTGTGCATAGATTCATTAGTAAGCAGCGTTTGAGCCTCCCTCGTGACTTGCAGCAACTGAACTATCAAACAGAGGGGACCAAAGTTTGAAGCAGATCACAGCACAAGGCTGTCACAAAGTTTATGATGACTCGGGTATTGGGGGCTCTCGAAATTGTACATCCCTCGGATCACTTGCCCGTTCAAGCTCTACCCCAGCTGTCCAACCTGCTTATCTGGCAAACACAATGTGGCAATCATCACCTCGGAACGGGCAAACACAGTCGTGCTGACGTACTTATAATTGTCGGAGCATCGCTTTCGTTGCTGTCTGCCGCCCAAAATATCGCCTGTTCATTTTTGCAGTAAAGCCTCCCACACCCAGTTCCAAAGACCATTGGATGGACTACCTCACTGTGTAAAGGCCGCACTGGGTCGGGCGACGCTTCAAAGGTCCGTAGAGGACACAATGCACATGACTTAGCGGGCCGCATATTACAAGTCTGCATTATCAGTTAGGCACACTAACCTGACTTAAAATGGGAGAAAATAACTACTAACTATGCAAAAGTAACGTTCATAAATTTACCGAGCTGATTGTCAAGTGCACGTGGAAAGAAATTTACTTGCCTGACGATTTGGATTCTCACTCGAACCCATCATCAGTGAGTCATCCTGATACCTCGACACTCATCCAGCTCAGTCGGCCGTCTCAAGTTTGATTCTTGGTACTGCATCAGTGAAAGGCTGCCGATCATGTTTGAAGAAAATCAGATATTTGTCACGTTCGATTGCTGAGACCACGGCCAAAACATTCGCCAACGTAATTTTCCAAAGATGGTCTTTCAGTCCGTCTAGTGCTTCTTAACCGGTTACCAGGACACGCGAATATGAACTGCGCGGTCTTGCTGCCTCCGCTACCTTGCAGGCTAGACTTTCATTCAAAGAATAATCTGCGAACTGATAAACCGATTTTCATCAATCCCCTGAATTCCAGTTTCATCCAACTTCCTAAACGAGGAGCGCCGACTCAGTCAACTGATCCGGTGGAAGCGGATGCACCCGAATATCTGCAACTGCGTCGCTCAATGTGCATGCATGTAAGGTCTTAGGAAATAAAATGAGAACTGAAGAACCCACGCTGGAATGCACAAACCCTTCATGCACTACCAAGGAAGGGTTTCACCAGCGAGCTCTGGCGCAGTGAAACCGGGGTTAGCCTAATATTAAGATGTTTCAGGATGGTTCTTGCCGATTCCTGGTCTACTATCTTTTTCAAGAAACCCCCACATCCTTCCGAGAAGCCTCCTTCGCTCGGACATGCATATTTACTCCCCCCTCTGCCCTGGACATGCGACTAGGTTTCCATGTACCCACTGTACCGTTCTTGGAACTACTGTTATTGGCAGCTATTCCGAAGGAACTCCTCGCTAAGGAAGCAGTTATTGAAGACAACCCGATGTATGGACTCAATCGCCTACTCAGCAATACCATCACCCCAGTCGGTGTCAACGCTGTCCAGTGCGCTCTCTATTCCACCGTCGCGTATTTTCCCTCTTCTCCCCTGTCCGATACCTCCGACTGCTACCACTAACTCCAACACTTCCGCCACCAGGTGGATTTACTCTTATACAGACTCTGTATATATCTCTTGCAGTGGTCGTCACGTACACTTTCCTGATCAGTTGGTCCCTCTGTTCTTTTAGACTTGTACACATCCTTCGGCGTCGTTTTCGCCGCCCTCCGGTCTCGAAGGGGGGTACTGTGCCGAGGCGCCAGACTATCTTGTCTTTACCTACCTGTTCATCATTCTTGAACTTACTGGTTGTTTAATTGAATGGAAGAAACACAACGCTACGCGACGCGCTCGGCATCTGTTGGACTGTGAGTTCGTTTGACATTTGACTGTGGATTTTTTCATAACTCTGGTCTTATCCTGATATCCATAGTCTGGGATTGACAGTTCTGTCCTTAGGGCCCACAACAAAGACACTAGTCCCAGAGAACGGAACTATTTCCACCGTCACCACAGCTGTGCCACCGATAACCCTGGTTGACACGGTGCCTCGACCGATCTGACTGACTTGCTCAGAGCTGTGCTTCATTCACTGACAACCGCTGTCACAGAAGATTGCCCTGTGCATCTTGCTAGTGCTGTTGTCAACATAAGTGCGTTATTGGTTTCGGCTCGAACGCTGACTGTTGAGTATGAGCGGAAATAGTCGCACTATGACAGAATTCAGTCAGCTGTCTAGTGCGTCGCATGCGTGAGCTTGTCTTTGTGCGAATTTGGGATACTTAACTTAA